GCCAGCTGTTAACCATTGCGGCTGGGGCTTCCTGTGCTGGGGGCTTCAGAGATATTCAAGGAGGCAAACGGAAAAAAAAGTATCTGTTATTTTGCCTGCCCCTAAGTATTCATCACATTTTGCTTTGCAAAACCTCAGCTTTCATCCCAGCCCTGGCCTGCCATGCAAACTCGGGCTTTCCCAAGGGGAACCCCAGCTGCGTGTGTGCTCTGGAGAGCCACGGGTTGCGCACTCACAGCAGGATGTTGATGTGGCTGCAAACCCTGGGGACCCTCCTGCCCCAGGCTGTCCCCGGGCGAGCAGTGCCGGGAGGATCTCCTGCTGTTTGCCCAGGTGCTGGGCTGGAGGGGGAGGCGGGCTGGGGACCTGGGGGTGTTTCTTGAGTACGTGGCGGGGTGTCTGGCAGGAGGCCCCAAGCAATGCTTCAGGAGCCCAGTGAAATCCCCAGGGGAGATAACATGAGCTGGTGAGACCCTGAAAGCTGTGAGCCACTGCTCTGTTCGCTACCTACTTGCTCTTGGGACTCAAGCCATGCTTCCAGGGAGAGCCACAGGCACACAAGGTGGGGGGACAGTTGAAGCCCCTATTGCTGCAGGCAACGTGAGAAGAAATGGCCCACCCAGCACCAGCAATCCTGCTGGGGACAGGGGCGAGGAGGTGGTGGTTGCAGAGCCAAGACTGCAAGCCATGTTGCTTTGTGTTGCACTGCAGGAAGGACGAAACCACGGGTTATTACCCCTCCATGTACCTGCAGAAAGCTGGGGAGGCGAACACCCCCGTGAAGAGCGAGCTGAGGAACCGCAGTGCTCCTCCGCGGAGGTAGGAGAAGCCCCAGGCAGAGGGGAGGAGGACTAAAGCTCTTCTTCGAGGGGGAGTGAAGTGAAACCAGACAGTGGTTTGTCATATCCCTTGCTCACTCTGGCCATAAGGAACTGCCCAGGAGAGATGTGCCCAAAGACACACCAGGAGGCAGATCCTGCAGGGCCGCGGCAAAAGTAGCTCTGTGCTCGCCGGCTCCCACAGGCAGAGAGGCACCCCAGCATTTCTGATGCAGGGCTGCGTGATCTTTGCTCCGGCAGGTCCTCCAGCCAGGTGTATTTCTCCTTCTGCAAAGTTTCTTTTCTGGGCTCATCTAATTTCATTTTCAAATTGGCCTTTTTCTTATTTCCTGCGTGCATCCACTGAACCTTTGAGAAGCGATGAGAGTTTTGACTGATCAGAGCTACCAAGTGGCCTAATCTGATGGGAGGATTTGAGCTAATGGAAGGGATTTTATTTTGATTAAAAAGATAAAAAGCAATAATAACTCATTAATTCCGATGCAAAGAAAACTGCTAGGAAGGGCAGAGCTTGCTGCTATCTTTTCTTCCCTACTAGAAAACACAGCAGCCATGCTATAAAATCTCTCAAAATCCAGCTCTGTTGGAGCATGGATTGAGTGTGAGACAGTGTAAAATGGCCCAAATCGACCTGTTTGAGCGCAGTGATGCCTACTGATACCCTTGGGGGAGGTGAGGTGGCCTGTTTCAAGGACAGTGACTTGCCCCACCATGGTGAACTCTGTCCCTGGGCTGAGCCCTGTTGCAATGGTGGTGACCTGCTGTTGTGGGAAAGAGCTTTACTTTGAGATGGATACGTGCTCAAACCAGGGAGAGGCTGAAGGCAGATGGGCACAGCAAGGGGCCATGGCCTTGAGGAGAGCAGGAGGATGATGCCATGGGATGGATGTCAGGAGCCATGTCGCTCATGCCCTGGTAGTGAAGACAAAGCGGTGGCCTCCGTCTGCCTGCCTGGGGATGGTGCCCAGCGCTGGGGGTTCCCCTGCGGCAGCATGCTGCCGCACAGCCCCAGGCTGCTCAGCCTTTCACTTCTCTCCGTAGTTTCTCTGCTGTGGGTTCAACACCACACATCCAGGTGCATGCTGACATGTACCCCACGCTCTGTTCCCCTGGCCCAGGGACTGGCCCCTGGGCGTTGGGGAGCCATGCCAAACACCACACCAGCGGTCTCAGTGTTGCAGCCAGGACAGATGCAGTATGTCCATCCATCCGAGAGCTATAGATCGCTTCCAGGGCTTTCTTGAACTCTGTTGGATAAACCTCATGCCCATCTCATCCTTCCAGCCCTATGCCCAATCTACCTTGCCGTGCCCATCATTACTTTCCAAGCCGGTGCTCAGGCTTCACCCTTCAGTGTTTGTTTCCAACGCAGTGCTGCAGCTGCCTCCTAACACGCTGTACATCACGTCTCACCTATGGCCGCCCTCGAGGGCTGGCATCTACCTGCTCCCTTCCACCAGGCAAAACTGCACAGCAGATATCGGGGTTTGCGTGAGGCAGAGGAGGAAGCGTGGGGTCCGGCTGGAGAGACAGGGCTGGGGGAATCCTCGCTGAGAAAGCGCGAGGCGTGAGAGCTGCCTGCACAGAAACTGAAAGTTTAATTTCTGACTTACTGCAGATCCACCATCCGAAACGTGAAAAGCATCCACAAGCAGAGCCGGAAGCAGATCAGTCAGGAGACCTACAGGAGGAACAGCAAGAAATACATCCAGAGCCGGAGGAACATGAAGGAAAATTTCCAGAACAAGGCCAATGTCATCAGTAAGTCTGATGCCCTGGACACAGGCTGAAGTCCTGCAGGCACGGCCCGTGCCCTTCAACGCCGGTTGCTGGAGTAGGACAGCACATGGAGGTCACACCTTGCCTGTCCACCCTTCTCCTGTGGGGAAAGCACACGCAGGGAGATGTTTCTTTTCAATGAGGCTTCTTACCTCTGGTTATAGGTCTGACAGAGAAGGAGCACAGTATGGTCCTGGTGGGAAGTCAGCCCACATTTAGGACCTGTGCTTTCCTCCACGCACCTAACCTCACCTGTGGTACTGTTACCTTCATCATTATCATGTACATTAGCTGTCAGCAAAGCACTTAGAGGGAGGTGGTGCATGAAGAAGGAGGCTGCTATTGAGGTAGATGATTTAGATCTGGTAATCCCCATGTGGGATCCATGACCTTCCCAAGGGAAAGTAGCTCCTCATGTGGACCTAGAGCTGGGCTCCCCCCTGAGCAGAGCTCCCTGCTGGGAACTGGTGGGCTTGAACCACCACCTTGACCTCCAGTAAGACAGGAGGCAAGGCAGGAGGTTTGGTGGCCATTATGTAGGAAGCCTTTGAACGTTCACCTGTACGTCCACTTTACCCACAGTTGAGAAAAACAAGCAAGAGGAAAACAAGCCCAAGGCTCAACCTGCTGTTCCTCCCCGTCCCAGCAAAGACCTCATCCTGAACC